TCATCTGTTGCCCTGTCCTGGTTTTACCTGCTCATACTAAGCATATTCGTCATTTCTTCCCATAGATGTAGTCAATTTGATATCTTTGTCTTCTTGTTGAAAGAGTCCACCTTGCCTTGTGGGTTGTTAAAAATAGGTAGAAGTAATTGGTCTTGCAAAATTCTATCATGAAATCTCCACCTTTATTTCAATCACCAAGGCCATATTTTCCAACTACTCTCCCTTTCTCTGTTTCTGAATTTTGTAGAACAATTCCCAATAATTATCAATGTATCTTGATTTCATGTTTGATTAATTTGTTACTGAAGACATTTTCAGAATTCTTAAGTTTCTTCATTCTTTACTAGCTTTAGTGGCTGGTCATAAGTTCAAATAATAGTTGTATTGATTGGCTTTCCTTGTATTCAGATACACATTATGCTATCTAGCATTGCATTACAATGAAATGTTTCAAGATGTGGAATTAGAAAGCCAAAAGGGAACAACACACTGAGTATATTTCAATTTGAAAGAACTGGAGAAAAATCAGATCTCCAGTTGCAATGTTGAAAGATTATGTGGACTAAATTTGAATGATGAAAGAAGCATCAAAAGACAACTGAAGGGGACTGCTAAATGTCACTGTACCCAAAATAATTGGTCAACATTCAACAATTTCAGAACCAATGATACTGAAGGAAGAAGTCCAAGCTAGTCTGAAGGCATTAGCAAAAAACAAGGTTCTGGGAATGGACAGAAAATCAATTGAAATGTTTCAATAAACTGATGAAGCACTGGAAGTACTCATTCATTTATGCCAAGAAATTTGGAAGGCAGTCACATGGCCAGCCAACTGAAAGAGATCTCTATTTGTACCCACTGCAAAGAAGGTGACCCAATAGAATGTAACACTTATTGAACAATATCATTAATAATGTCGCATGCAAGTAAAATTTTGCTGAAAATAATTAAATAACACCTGTAGCAGTACATCAACAGAGAGCTTCCAGAAATTTTAAAAGATTCAGAAGAGGGTGTGGCATGAGGGATATCATTGCTGATGTCAGATGGATCTGAAAGCAGCGAATACCAGAAAGATGTTTACTTGTATTTTGTTGACTTCACAGAGGCATTTGACCACATGGATCACATAAAACTACAAACCCATAGAAAAGAATGGGAGTTCCATACATATCACAGACCAAGAGGCAGTTATTCAAACAGAGGAAGCGAATACCACATGGTTTAGAATCAGGAAAGGTGTGTGTAAGAGTTGTTTCCTTTCTCTGTACTTATTCAATCTGTATGAAGAGCAGATAATCCAAGAAGCTAGACCATATGAAGAAAGAGGAATCAGAATCAAAAGAAGTTCTTATTAACAACATCTGATAGGCAGATGACACAACGTGACCAATAGATAACATTATGCTAAATGGAGAAAAGATTGAAGTTGTCAAAGAGTTCCTTTTACCTGGGTCCACAATCAAACTCATGGAAGAAGCAGTAAAGAAATCCAACAATGCATTGGGCAAATCTGCTTCAACACTTTAAAGTGTGAAAGTTGGGCAAGGAATAAGAAAGATCACAGAAGAATTAATGCATTTGAATTATGATGCTGGTGAAGAATATTGAAAGTACCATGGACTGCCCGAACTCACAGGTTCAATTCTACCCTGTCCTATATTGGGTCTCTGTGAGTCAGAATCGACGCGATGACAGTGAGTTTGGTTGTTCAAACACTAAAAATGCAATGAGATATAGCTAACCATCTGAGTTAGTTAATTGTGCCAGCCTGGCCGATAATCACATGTGGTGCTGGTTGAAAAGCAGAGGGATAAATGGGTGGTGAAGCCTCGCCTTTCTAGTTCTCGGGTCTCTTGTTTTGTGATGGTTGCATCGGGTGCAGCTGCCTTAGCAGTTCCCTGCTTCAGCTTGCAAGATTGATTTCCTACAAGACATCCCCAAGGAGAAGCCGCATGGATCTATCCCGATGCAGCCCTGGGTGCTGGAGCAGCCGTGTGGAGACCCCTGCCAGTGCTGAGATGCTTACATGTTCACTGACTCAGCTTTCCTCCTGCAGTCGGCATTATTGCCTCTGTTTTGTGAGGTGAAGGACTTTGTGGACTGGATTTGGGTTAATGGGTTAATGTTGGACTTGTGGGCTTGGGCAGCCCTGGGTTGGGATGTTTTTTCGTGATGCACATTTTCTTTGCATAAAACTCTCTCTTATACATGAGTTGCTGTGGATTTGTTTCTCCAAAGTACCCAGACTAATACACCATCCCATAAGAGTGAAATGAAGTTTAAAATTATCAAATATTTTAACAAGACATGGGAAATTATGCATGCAGCAGCAAAAAAATCAAGAGACTATTGGCATACAATAGATCCCCAGAATTATTATCTGCATCCTGGTGAATCATGAGCAGATCTAAGCTTAACCCCTGAGATCATCTTTTAACAAAATAGCAGACTGGCATACAGAAGAAATGATATTGCACATAAGATTGGTGATTCACTTTCAAAACATCTGTATGATGCTAAAAGGTCAACAGTTGACTCAAAAGCAAAGATGAAAAGATAAGAGCCAGAGAAATCAGAGTACCTAAAATGGAGCAAGCAGTAGATTGAAAGTAGTCAAATGGAACATCATACATTATATGAACTGCCCCCCTCAAAAAACTGTAAGCGTCAATGAAGCTTTTACTGCAAAAAGATTTCAAGACAATGGATCAATTTATCAGAAATACATACTGTATATAAGTACCTGCTTTTAATAACAGAGCTGCAAATTGGATAAGACAAGATATGACAGAATTATAGAGAGAATTAGACAATTCCATAATCATAGGTGGGAATATTAAAACCCTTCACAGCAATTGAAAAGTTGGTAGACAAAAAAGTCAAGAGGAGGTGATATGAATAACACTCTCCATGTCCTTTCAAGTATAACAATGATGAAGTGCACAATCTCTTTTTCAAATGCACATGTGTGTTCACTAGGAGAGCCCCTGTGCTGAATGATAAAATGACTCTCATTGAAGTTAAAAGACTGAGACCCCAAATTATGTTCTTTAGTGAGAGTGAAATTACAGATCAATAAGAAAATTAGACAGACACAAATACTTGGAAAAGAAACAACACATTTCTAAATAACCTGAGTTAAGAAAGAAATCATAATTATAAAATATTTTAAAGTATCATATGACCTTTTAAAATTTGAGTAGGGGCAGGGCAGAAGTTATAGATTAAAATAATGCTTTAAGTGTATGGGAAATGTATAGCTTTAAAAGTTCCTATTAGGAAGAGGAAATCTGAAATAATATAAGTTCTAGTCTTTAAAAACAACACCCAAGGGATCAAAAGATGTATTGTATTGGTTAAGTCTGTTGCCAAAGGCCTCCCTTAGAGTACTGAAAATCAAAGGTGATATTTTGAGGACTAAGGTGTGCCTGACCCAAGCCATGGTATTCTCCATTGCCTCATATGCATGTGAAAATTGAACATTGAATAAAAGAGACTAAAGAAGAATGGATGCATTTGAATTTGGTGCTGGAGAAGAATATTTAAAGTACCATTGACCTGCTAAAAAGACAAACCAATCTGTGTTGGCAGCAGCAAGGCTTGAGTGCTCCTTGGAGGCAAGGATGGCGAGATTCTGCCCTACATACTTTGGGCATGTTGTCGGAGAGACCAGTCCCTGGACAAGGACACCATGCTAGATAAAGTGGAGGGACCGCGAAGGAGGGGATAAATTGACACACTGGCTGTATCAATGGGCTCACACATAGGAACCATTGTGAGGGTGGAACAGGACCATACAGTGTTTCGTAAGTTGAGTATAGGGTCTCTATGGGTCAGAGCCATTTCGGTGGCATGTAACAGCAATAAAAACAGTTTTTGAAATGTATTAAAATCTAGATCAGAAGCAACAAAGCCCACATGGAGGAAGCACTGTGTGATCACGAGGTATTGAAGCAATCAGGTATCAGGAATCAAATAACAAAAAATCATATCGTTGTGAATGAGGGGAAGTGCAGATTGGGGACCCAAAGGCCATCTGTAGGCAACTGGACATCCCCTTACAGAAGGTCGCAGGGAGGAGACGAGCCAGTCAGGGTGCAGTGTAGCAACGATGAAACATACAACTTTCCTCTAGTTCTTAAATGCTTCCCCCCACCCCACTCTACTATCATGATCCCAATTCTACAAATCTGGCTAGACCAGAGGATGTACACTGGTAAAGATAGGAACTGGAAACACAGGGAAGCTAGGACAGATGATCCTTTCAGGACCAGTAGTGAGAATGGCAATACCGGGAGGCTGGTAGAAAGAGGGAATCGATTATAAGGATCTACATATAACCCTCTCCCTGGGGGATGGACAACAGAAAAGTGGGTGAAGGGAAACATCGGACAGTGTAAAACATGACAAAATAATAACTTATAAATTATCAAGGGTTTATGAGGGAGCGGGGAGGGAGGGGAAAATGAAGAGCTGATACCAAGGGCTCAAGCAGAAAGCAAATGTTTTGAGAATGATGAGGGCAATAAATGTACAAATGTGCTTGATACAGTGGACATATGTATAGATTGTGATAAGAGTTGTACGAGCCCCCAATAAAATGATTTAAAAAAAATAAAATATATCAAAAAGAGGAGCAAAATAAACCCCAAGCTGTGATTCAGTGTTACAGTTAGCTGGTTTCAGTGAACATGAGGGCACCTATATGTAATAGTTACTATAATGTAAGTATTTATGAGATTCATTTACTTTTTCATGTTTCCAAGTGTTCATCTCTACACTATCTAATGAAAGCAATTTTAAAAAATAGAGGTTGAATGTCGCAAGCATACTACTTTAAATATCTTGATTTGATGGTGAGGTGAATAAAGCTGTTTTAAAGAGCCTTTTGTGTCACAATCATGATTGCACTAAGTTTAGGTTCTGAACGGCCTTCTTTATATGTTTTACCTCGTCTTTGATCTGGTTTGTCTAACAATGTTTGTTTTCTCATGCAGGGTACATCCGAGAAGGGTTCCTGGCTGTACAGTATGCCTTAGATAAATCCATCATGCTGTATCATGAGAGCAGAGCTAGAGAAAAGCTACTGGATAACATCAGCATTTTTATACAGAGATTTCCACGGCCAGCTTCGTATGATGTCTTGCTTTGGGTCACCAGCCCTTTCTTCCCTTTTCTGTTCGTGCTCATGTTCTCTCCCAGTGTGCTTTCCATCATGAGGCTGATTGTGTGGGAGAAGGAAAATGGATTGAAGGTAATCCTTTTAATAATTATGTTGAAAATATACAAAACAAACCCTGCCCGATGGTAATATTTTATATTTATAATTCATTACTTCATTATATTCAGTTTTTGTAATTATTTTATTTCTGGTACAGGCAATTAGAACACCTCTTTATTATGACTTTTTGTGTGTGTGAACTGAGTGTGTGTTTACCGAGCAGATCAGGTTTCCATTCCACAATTTATAGACATTATTCATTTCATTGATTACAATCTCCACAATGAAACATCACTTAAACCACCAAATTTATTTGTTTCCTGTTTCCATTCCTTGTTCTTTAGTAAGGCTCCTGAACTTTATCCTGGAGTAAAGGTTGCCTCTCTGATTTTAAATGGTTAATCTGCTATTGCCCTCGTGTATTGCCCATTATATAGACCTGTCTATTGGGGGGCAGAGAAGTGAACCTTGCACTCAAGGTTATCTAGCTCTTCTGGTATCACTGTCACGGAGATTGGTGTTGGGTGGTCCTTTAATCCACTGGACAGATTTCATGCATCTTCAATTTTCAATTTTTAAAAATCATTTTATTGGGGGCTCGTACAACTCTTATCACAAGCCATCCATCCATCCATTGTGTCAAGCACATTTGTACATTTGTTGCCATCAACATTCTGAAAACATTTGCTTGCTACTTGAGCGCTTGGTATCAGTTCCTCATTTTTCCCCTCCCTCCCCGCTCTCCCCTCTCTCATGAACCTTTATAATTTATAAATTATTATTATTTTGTGATGTCGTTACACTGTCTGACATCTCCCTTCACCCACTTTTCTGTTGTCCATCCCCGCAGGGTGGAGGTTATATGTAGATACTTGTAATCTGTTCCCCCTTTCTACCCCACCTTCCGTTCAACCTCCTGGTACTGCCACTTTCACCACTGGTCCTGAAGGAATCAACTGTCCTGGATTCCCTGTGTTTTCAGTTCCTATCTGTACCAGTGTACATCCTGGTCTAGTGAGATTTGTAAGGTAGAATTGGGATCATGATAGTGAGGGGAGGATGCATTTAAGAACTAGAGGAAAGTTGTATGTTTCATCATTGCTACACTGAGCCCTGACTGGCTCATCTCCTCCCTGCAGAACCTTCTGTAAGGGTATGTACAATTGTCTACAGATGGGCTTTGAGTCCCCACTCCACACTCCCCCTCATTCTCAATATGATTTTTTGTACTTTTTTAAGTGCTCTTTAAATCATTTTATTGGGGGCTCATACAACTCTTATCAAAATCCATACATACATCAATTGTATAAAGCACTTTTGTACATTTGTTACCCTCATAATTCTCAAAATATTTGCTCTCCATGTAAGCCCCTGGCATCAGCTTCTCATGGTCACACAGGCTGATGTGCGTCTTCCATGTGGGCTTTGTTACTTCTCAGCTAGATGATCACTTGTTTATCTTCAAACTTTTAAAATCCCAGATGCTATATCTTTTGATAGCCAGGCACCATCAACTTTCATCACCACATTTGCTTATGAACCCACTTTGTCTTCAGCAATTGTGTAGGGAAGGTGAGCATCATGGAATGCCAGTTTAATAGAACAAAGTGTTCTTACATTGAGGGAGTACTTGAGTGGAGGCCCAATGTCCATCGGCAACCTTAATACTAAACCTGTAAATAGATGCACATAGACCTATTTCCCCATCATCATATATAAATATATTTACATATGTACATGCCTGTATTTAGACCTCTATAAATGCCCTTTGCCTCCTAGTCCTTTCCTCTATTTCCTTTTACTTTCCTCTGTCCCACTATCATGCTCAACCTTCATTTGGGTTTCAGGAATTCTTCTCGGTTACATTGCCCTTGATCAAGCCCTACCAGGCCTCTTATACCCTCCTTGCCACTGATTTTGGATCACTTGTTCCCTTATCCCTGGGTCTGTTAACACCACATCCTTCCTCCTGACCTCCCTTCTCCCATGCCCCCCCAAAACTGTCAGTCCCATTGTTTTCTCCTCTGGATGGTTTATCCAGCCTATCTTATCTAAATAGATCTGCAAAGATAATAACATGCGCAAAAACAAGACAGATTAAAACAAAGCAACAAAACAAAACAACAGCATAAAAAAAAATGACCAAAAAAAGAAAAGCTTGTAAATAGTTTAAGGTCTGTTTGTTGACCTTTAGGAATGTTTTTTGGTGGATTCTGATGTGGTGCCATGCCCTGGCTCCAAACTCTATTATTGGTACTCCCTCGGCACTTCCTTGCTCTGTTCCCCTTGCTGTTCTGTTGCACACCCTTAGTGTTTTCCTCAGTGTGATGGGGTCAGATCAGGTGCAATTCCCATACTGTGTCTCCAGTGTTGTCCCCTGTAGGGCTAAGGGTCAGTGAGGGATGTCGTGTCTCATTGTGAGACTGGTTGTATGGTCCTCTCTGTGCATTGGCTTCTCAGAGCAGGGATATCGTCCTCAAGGCTTGGTGGGCCAGGATATGCTTCTCTCTCTTTTCTTCCCCCTTCATGTGCTCCCGTGTGCTCTGATCAAACATGTTCCTCTCCCTGAGCTGTAGTTTCAGTGCTGTCCTCTGAAGTAAATTCTTCTGGGGGCAGGGGCACCTGTCAACTTAGTTGGGATTGGGGCTGGCCCCTCAGACCTCTCTACTTGTTCCCTGCTTCACGCCGGTATGTTGCATTCACATCTTGGAGCCCTGGGTTGAAGTTTGGTCCTTTTTTCCCTCTGGAGATATAAACAATACATTCCCCTTGGGTGGGTTAGTGCCTGTTCCCCCACTACCCATTTCTTTTTTATTTCCTCCCCCCCCCCTTTTTAGTTGGTTAACATATGTATCCCTGGATTGGGTCTGGCTCCTGCCGTGCTACCTGGACCTCACCCCAGGAATGTTTGTATACAATAGCCTTTTCCCTATGCCCCTTTTGCATTTTTTTTTAACTTACCTCAGAGAACTCATGTTATACTTGTCCTTTTGTGCTTGGCTTACTTCCCTTAGCATAATTTCCTCCAGTTCTTCCCATGTGGCAATGTGCTTAATGCATTCATCACTGCTTTTTAGCGATGGGTAGTACTCCATTGTATGTATATACCACAGTTTTTTAATCCATTCGTCTGTTGATGGAAATGTGGGTTGTTTCCAACTACTTGCAATTGTGAACTGTGCCGCGATGAACATTGAAGCACAGCTGTCTGTCCATGGTTTGTTTCTTGCCTCTTCTGAGTATATGCCCAGTAGGGGGATTGCTGGGTCGTATGGTAGCTCAATCTCCATCTGTTTAGATATCGCCAAATCAATTTCCATACTGGCTGTACATACCTACAGGTCCACCAGCAGTGGATAGGGGTTCCTATCTTACCACACCCCCTCCAACACTTGTTGCTTTCTGATTTTTTGAATTGGGCTATCTTTGAGGGTCTTAGGTGGTATCTCATAGTTGTTTTAATTTGCATTTCTCTTGTAACTAATGATCGGGAACATTTTCTCATATGTTTATTGGCCATTCAGATTTCTGCCCTTGTGAAACTTTGGCACAGGTCCTTTGCCTACCTGCTCAGTGGGCAGTTAGTTTTTTTTCTTTTTGGAAGCTAGCAGAGTATTGTAAATTTTAGTAATAAGGCCTTTGTCTAATGTGTCATTGCTAAAGATGTTTTCCCAGCCCGTGGGCTCTCTTATTACTCTCTTGGTGAATTCTTTTGATGTACACAGGTATTTTGTCTTCAGTATATCCCACTTGCCAATTTGTGCCTCCTCTGTGTTTGTGTCCTTCCCTATTTCTGATAGCCTATGTATTCCCTGTGCCAAAGTTTTCAGGTTGGTCCTAATTCCCTCATTGATAGCCCTAATAGTTTGGGGTTTTACCTCAAAGTCTTGAGTTTATTCTTGTGCATGGAATAAGATAAGGGTCTTGCTTCATTTTTCTGCAGGTAGATATCCATTTTTTCCAGCAACATTTGATGAAGAGGGCATCTGCTTCCCATTTGATATTTTTTGGGCCCTTATCAAAGATCAGTTGTCTGTATGCTGATGATTTTATTTCTGGGTTTTCAGTTCTTTTCCATTGGTCTGAGTATTTGTCATTATACCAATATCATGCGGTTTTGACATCTGTGGCTGTATACTATGAGCTGAAGTCAGATAAAGCAAGCCCTCCTACTGTGTCCTTCTTGAGGCGTTCTCTGCTAATTCTGGGCTTCTTCCCTCTCCATATGATGTTGGATACCACCTTCTTGATCTCCTCTTCTTGGTCTTATCCAATGTGTAGAGCAGTCTGATAGATTTCTGTTTGTTGATCTTGTACCCTGCCACTCTGCCATATTCCTCTATTGCTTCTGATACTCCCCTTGCGCAGCCTTAGGGATTTTCTATGTATAAAATTATATCATCTGCAAATACGATAGCTTCACCTCCTCCTTCCCCAGGCAAATACCTCTGGTGTCTTTTCTTTGCCTTATGCTGTCAGCTAAAACCTCCAATATGATGTTAAATATGAGTGGGGACAGGGGGCATCCGTCTCTGGTCCCTTTTTTCAGTGGGATTGTATTAGTCTTTTTCCATTGCCTACCACGTTGGCTGTTGGTTCTTCATATGTATCTTGTATCATCTTGAGGAATTTTCCTTCCATTCCTATTTTCATGAGGGTCTTAAACAGGAAATGCTGTTGGATGTTGTAAATGCTTTTTCCACATTATTGATATTATCATGTGGTTCTTATAGTTTTTCGTGTCAATGTGGCAAATGATACTAATGGTCTTGTATGTTGAACTATCCCTGCATCCCTGGTATGAATCCCACTAGGCCATGGTGAATTATTTGTTTTATATACTTTTGTATTCTATTGGCCAGTGTTTTGTTAGGAAATTTTGCATTGATGTTCATTAAGGACATTGGTCTGTAGTTCTCAATTCTTGCAGGATCCCTGCTTGGTTTTGGTATCAGGGTTATACTAGCTTCATAGAAGGCATTTGGGAGTTTGCTGTCTTTTTCTATGTTCTGGAAGAGTTTGTGTAGGATTGT